CCTTAAAGTGGGGGGTGGCATTTATCTTTCCGCAAACAACCCAATTTATTTAACAGTCACCATTCCCAACAAGTACTCTCCATTCTTTCCTAATTTCTGATCGTTTCGTTTTCTCTTCCCACCGCTCCTTTTGTCCGAGCCTGGGAAACGCGCTGTTTAGACTTTGTCCGGGTCTCACGCAGACCGCCTCCCTCCTGGTTGGAGCCGAGTTGGACCGAAAATGTTTTGACTGGCGTCGTTATGACAAGGTCATCCGTCATCCCTGGATAGATTGATAGCACCCAAGTCTGAGGCAAAGCACCACGAGGGAAAACGCACTGAGTTGTAAACCCCCGGGGCTAACCAGGCAGCCTTCGAAGACTTCCGACAACTCCCCGGAGAAGAGGATAAAGTTCCAGGCCCCTTTCTATTAATCTGTGTACAGAATTGCTGTAGCTGATGGGACCCGGGAGACAGTGCAAACTCCTTCTCACATCCCCCTAGTTCACTGCGGAGAGACCTGTTCCTTTCTAAGGTCTCTGCGAGAAGCAGGGAGATGGAAGGGTGGACACCGTCCAAAGCAGGCCCTCTTCTAGAGTTTGGTCCCCACAAATGGAAGTGCCAAAGAATCCCAACGCTCTTTCTTCCCTAGAAAATATCAAGATTTTGAGACGATAGTCGCTACAAGTGCTTGGGAGACCTCACCGCTCTAGCGGTGACTAGAGACATGGGCAGGATGGTTTAACCATGGGATGGCTCACGTTCATCCCAGGGTTAAAGCTGCGGTTAAAGATTGTTTAGGACGTGGGATGCACACACATCTAGTGTATCTAGCAACCATGCCTGCAAGGCATTATTAACCCCCATGTTGTGTCCAAATGCTGATCAGAAGGTTCTGAAAGGTGGGGTCACTAATGAAGGATGGAGGACCATTTGTACTCTGCTCGGTGGGCCTCCAAGTGTGTGTTTCTCACGACTTTAGTCCGGTCTCTACTCATTACACTGAGCCTGGACTGGAGGTGGTGGGGTATCAGTGGAGAGGAGGGTAAGAAATTAGGCAATTAGGCAGATGAGGTGGGAAAGGCCCTCTCTTCCATTAGGCCTGCTGTAGAATACCTGACTTGTCACGTTTGAGGACAGCCCCTGCACTGGCCCCTGTCAGGCATTCTGGAGGTGATCACTGCAAAAATTGTCAGGAGATCAGGCCTAGGAACCAGAGGACATAGGAAACTTCCTTGAAGGAGGAAGGCACAGTTACTACCCAGAGGGCTGGGAACAAATGAGAAGGTCTCCAGGGGAGAGTTTACAGCCTGAGTATCCCCAGTGACTCTGTGGCAGGTCCGAAGCACTGAATGTGGCCAAGGTCAGCTAGGTCCTTTGCAGGTTGGGTGCAGTAAAAACACCGGCAAAGTCGCTTTGTCACCCCGGCTGACCCCTGACCCTCACAGCCTTGGTCAGCCTGGAACATCTTGGGGTTTTTAGAAAGTGAGCCGACTGACCGTAGGGGTATGTGTCCCTCTGTTCTGTTGCCTTCTCTTGCTACTTACAAAATGGGGAAACAAATCACTCCGACCACTTAGGAAGCGATCAAACCTGCATAAAAATCCATTGCTCCCGAATCGATGGGTGAATATTTGCTGGGACTTTGTTCCAGAGGAATGAATAAGAAGTGAGAGTGTATTAGATGCAAAAGGGGGACACGGTAGTGTTTTTCTTCATTGATTAATGACCTCTAAAATAAAACAAGTAGGAAGAGGAATCGGGATCGATAAATTAACTGCCCCAATTTATCATTTCTCCAGGATTTTTCCCCCGAAAATTTTCCCCTAGCAAGGCCATTGTACCCTTAGCTGAGCAGGGGAAAATGGGGCCAGCGGCAAAGCAGGGAACCAGTGATGGAGGGGCAGGAAAACAGGAAGGTGGTCTATCTATACCGGAGACTTCCCATCTGACTTAATTTGACATACAATTTTAAAAGTTTGCCTTCCATATTAATTACTTTTTTTCTTGATGGGGGAGGGAAACAAATGGCCGTCACCTTTGACAGGACTCCAATAAGAGATTCAAGGGCTCTCCATTCTGCCCTGGGTGCTCCTGTTTCTAGGTTTAAGGTCACGGGTGGCTGAGTTAATAATTCATTAATATAGACATTTATTCAGAAGGTTTTTCTGAGATCTGCCCTCCCTACCTCCTCTTGGAGATTTATTTTCTGAAGAAGTGGAGGGGGGAGGGGGCTCTGGTGAAAGAAGGGACCGGAGAAAAGAAGGGGGCTCTGGACATGCTGACGAGCCATCCTAATGGGGAGATTCCTTCAACTTGCTACCCAATTCATGGCCAAAACTGTTTGAAAATGGGTCAGCCTTAGGACAGGGATTCTGGCCTTTAGTGGCGCTTTCTCCCACGTCTACAAATGTCTGGGAAAACTCCTTCCCTCGTGATTTAAGGTCTGAGTGAGGATGTCTCAGGAAGGACCCTGGAGTTAGAGCCGAGTGTCTCCCAAAAGCCCCCTCCACCTTTCCCA